GAATATTTATACACTGAAATACAGTAGTGAAAATCAGTTAGTTATGTCAATATAGATGAATCTTAGGAACAGTGTTGTGTTGCGGGGGAAAGCAAGATATAGAAAAATAGAGTTGAATACCGGAAAACCTGGGGATCTGGGCACATATATACATATGATAAATCTATAGTGAAAAGGAAATTAGTTTAAAATTTTCAGGATAGAAGTTACTTCTGAGGGAATAGGATCAAGGGAAAAGCACATGGTGTGGCAGGGGAGTGGAATGCCAAATTGTTCTAGTAACGTTCTTAGATTCGGTATTGGGTTCTCAAGTTTTCATATTATTATGCTTCATTATTTTGAGCTATGTTACATTATTTTGTATATACCAAATATTTCATAATATATTTTTCTAGGGTGTAGTCAAAACCACTGTTAATACAAAAAAAAAAAAGCCATAAATAGATGGTTTCCTTGAAACTTTAGTAATTGCTTTTAAGGCTTAATGTTTACAACTAAAACTATAATAGCCACTTATGCATTTAGAGGGTGGCTAAACTAGTTTTGTGTGGCTACCTATTCATCATCTTTTGCCTCACTCTATACTTGATGTGGAAGCACTATTTTTTAGTGCCCAATATATTTGGGAGGGGGTGTGGTGTGAGGAATCTATCCTATGAGTCAGACACTTCACATATATTTTGTTTAGTCCTCGTAGTATTCCTGAAAGATTCTTACAATTGGTTCCTATTTTACAGGTGGGGAAACAAGCTCAGAATAAATAACCTGCCTAAGGGGGACATACATGTGGTGGTAGAATCATGAATCAAACCCAGCACTGAAAAGCTGTGCTCTTTATAACTTTATAATTTGTAATTATGGTGTTAGAATGTGACAGCATGTGGCATAGGAATCAAGTGTTCAAACGTTCACTTCAGCATCTGTGTTTTTGATGTACTTTGTATCACAAAAAGGAGTTCTCAGCCTTCTAAGAGGTTTGTAATGTGCCAAAAGGATAAACATGGGGCATCTTGGAAGGCTGATTTTAATTCTAAGTGATTTGAAGTAAGTGCATGCATTACTTTCATAAAAATTTTTAAAATAAAAATACTAAAGATCAGAAAGAACAAATACATTGGGATATCGAATACATCTTTGTTTTTAATCAATATTTATTGAGTGCCTACCATGTGCCAGGTGCACCACACTAAATGCATGAGATACTAACAGTAAATAAGATATGGTCTCTACCCTCAAAGAGCTTACATTTCCAGTAAAGTGCATCTCAAGTATTCAGATAACAGAATCCCACCACTCTGTTTCTCATTTTTTTTTTAGTATGATACATTAAACAGCACAACTACTAACCAGTTATGAAATAGAATGTTAGAACTGAAAGAAACCTTTGGTATCATTTGTTTTACAGAAAGAAACTGAAGGAGTAGCCATTTGCACCTAGAATTCATGTGTTCTTATTTCACGTTTGGTGCTTTTCTCATTATCAGGCTTCTCACGATATTTAGATTTATTTTGTAAATATCAACATTCAAACCCTGGTAGCATACCTGTGCAGTTCTCTACTAGACAAGGACCTTATAATGTATACCCTATTAAAATAATACCTTATTTATCCCATCCTATTCTTTGTGATAAACCAGAGGGATCAGGTTCATCCAAGTGCTGATCTCACTTATGCCCTCAGGATTCAGGACTTGCCATGCTAGGCAGCATCAGCTTGCCAGGGACCTTACTCCCCTAAACTTGGGTTTTTCGCAGTGTTCCTGAACTGCTGGGGAGCACTGCCAATCAGGTAAAAGCGTAGCATCGCAGGGTGTGAGCGAACTTGTTTTTTTGCAAGTTTCATCCAGCATTTGCCAGCCATGTGCCACTGACCAGAACGGAACTCAAGTATAAATCACAGAGGTACAATTTTCCTAGCTGACAAGTACACATCATACTATTTCAACTAGGAACATAATCTGAAGTGCCATAATGTGCCAGGCACTGTACTGTATACTAGGGGCATAAATATGAAAAAGATTGTCTCTGCCCGTCATGAGTAATACTAGTTGCACTGGGAACACTTGAGCCTGGAGGAAGAAGGTGTCCAAAAAAAGATTTAAAAGAGAACAAATTAGGAATAGGTGCTTGGGAATAAGCAAGAAGGGTTAAAGAGTCCCACAGGTGAAAAGAGAAAGCTGCATTCATTTGAGCAAAGAGGATGACCAGACATACATGTGAAGGGAAGAGGCCAGAGACCACATCTGCAAGGACAGTGAGGCCAGGAAATAAAACACTAGTGTTTCTGAGACCTGAGGAGCACAATGGTATTAATTAAGCTCTCTTTACCAGCACCTAATTTTTAAAATGCTGGTTGTCCAACTTACTTAAGTGAAAAAAATTTTAGTAATTATTATGGACAGTATTTACTTATGTCACACTGTAGTGATCCTGTGGTGGACTGGGTAGTTCGAAAAGTTCCTATGAACATAAATTGTTTTTTAAACTTACAGCCTAGCAGTAAGCCTAATTTCTAAGACCAAGAATGCTTAATTTCTCCCTGTAGGACCAATAAGATTTGACTTTTAACTAATCAAATTTACATATACAGGTAAATAACAGGAATGAAAAATAGTAGACATCTTTTATGATGCTGCTTAAAATAGATCTTTATTTCCTGTAATGTGAATTTTTTTGTCTTTAATGTGTTGTGAACTCCATCAAATATAACCATTTAAAAGTGTTTTTATTGTCATTGATCACTTCTACAAGTACAACTCAGTTTATAGGCATTATTTTGAATGCACCTTGACTTTAACTAGCATAATTTATTTAAGAGTTAGATTGTGTTGTCAACATTGGCATTTTCAGGAATGTATAGTGTAGTTTATGAGACAAGCTTCTGACCCAAAAGTCTCACTTTGAACCCTATTTCCACCTTACTAGCAGGTGACCTTGGTCAAGCCAACCATCAAAACCTTGGGTCAATGTCCATAAAGACATTATAAACTGTCCTACTTCACAGGGCTCCTGTACAGATTATTTAGGTCAATGTATGTAAAAAATTTTTTGACGACTATAAAGTACTATAAAATGACAATCACAGAGAAGTTAGTGAAGTTAACCACTATAGTGGATTGAATTATATCCCCCCAAAACTCACTGAAGCTTGAATTGTGTCCCCCAAGTTTTATGTATTAGAAACTTGGTCCCCACTGTGACTGTTAAAAGGGTGGGAAATCCTGCTATGGTAATTGAAAGGTAGAGCCTTGAAGAGGTGCTTAGATTGTAGGACCATGCAGTAGTGAATGGACTAAAAAGGGTGGTCAGGGGTGTGTTTCTGAGAGCTTTAAAAGAAGAGAGGAGACTCTGCAATCTGCTGCACCATTTTCGCAATGTGATACTCTGCCATCACTGTTTCCACCGCCAAGGCTCTCACCAGATGTGTTCCCTAGACTTTAGACATCCCAGCCTAAGAAACTGTAAGCAATAAATTTCATTTTCTTTATAAATCACCCAGTTCCACATATTTTGTTATAAGCAACAGAAATGGACTAATACAGCCACCAAAGTAATGTTCATGCCTATAACCAAAAGCTTCTAAATGAAACAGCTTAATATAAAGAGGTCAGTTAAGCAAATGAAGACTATCACATGCACACATTCCTAAGACTACTCTATTGAGTGTAATCTTTGGAAAGACAATTCATTTTAAGGGTAAAAATTTTAAATTATTTGTTAGTGTTAATACAAACAAGCTGCAATTACCAATTCAAAAATAGGAGATATTTTTTCCCCAATGAGTGCGCATTCTTTAATAGGACTATATTTGAATAAGAATTCCATACAAATAGAATAGATACCTCAATACAAGAAAGCAAGGAAGAAATATTTTAAGTTACACAGAACATTCAGGTAACTCAACCAAGTTACCCCCTCCAACCAAATACTTATTTTTTATATTTATTACAAACGTTGCAGTCAGTTCAGTATATGCCAACAATCATACAGTTTTAACATTTAGTAGTATGAAACACACCTGTTTCCAAACGGATAAGTTTTGTAGCTTTCATTTCACAGGAGCTGAAGTGATTAAATTACTGTCTGCTTTTTAATGTTTCAACTAACCTGTGAAGAGAAAATGAACAGTTCCATAAAATTAACCTTCAGGTATAATGCATGATCATTTATAATATAAATTTCACTCTGGAGGTTGGATTCCAAGCACTTAAAATGATGAAGGCTAACATGGATTAGACGAGATTACGGACTCAGTTTTCCATGAGGGTCTTTTAGCTTTGACTTTGTCTATGCTTTTAATGAAAAATCAAAAAAGACCAAATATATGTTTTCCAGGCTGCTTCTACTGCCGGGCTACCTGTGGATGATTCAGAGGTGAAAACTAGTCTCAGTCCTCAAGAAGCTGATTATCTAAATGAGTAGATGCACAAATGAAACAATTACAAGACAGTGTAACAAGAACTATGTTGCTGATCTGTGACAAGGACATCTAATTTTGTGTGTGTGGTAAGGCAGTGAAAGTGGAGATACTTCAGTAAAGGCTCTTGAGAAGCCAGCCTTAACCTAATTCCTGATGGATAAGGAACTGGAGTGAGGTGAGGCAAGGAAAAGGCTAAAAAATGGCAGAGAGGTGGGTTATCTAAGTAATCAAGTAGGTGTGGTTGAAATAAAGACAGATGCACCTGAAGACCAATGGGAGAAAAGGCTGGAGGAATTTACATGATAAGCTGCTAAGTAATGTAAATTTCATCCTTAAGATTAAACAGAAATTACATGTGTGTGTGCACAGCTGTTAGCACACACAAATGCACAGATGACTTCTGAAAACATGATACTTGCCATTCCATTGCCTCATCAAGGCCAGTGCCTTTGGTTGCTGACGTTTTGAATATTTGCCATTTTCGGTCCTTCAAGGCAGGTAATCCAAGTGAATTTGCCATCTCTGAAGGAGTCATGGCCTGTTCCATGTCCTGCTTATTTGCAAACACCACTAAAATGGCTTTTCTCAGCTCTTCTTCCTAAATAAAATTGTAGATACTCAATTTCCTTTAATCAATTTGCTCCCTTGAGTTTATTTAAGAACTGCCAAAAAATATATTAAAGTATATTTTCTAATTTTTTTTTTTTTAAAGATGACTGTTAAAGGGATCTTAACCCTTGACTTGGTGGTGTCAGCACCATGCTTTCCCAAGTGAGCTAACCGGCCATCCCTATATAGGGATCCGAACCTGTGGCCTTGGCATTATTAGCACCACACTCTCCCAAGTGAGCCATGGGCCAGCTCTTCTAATTATTAATATATAATGTTCATTATAAATTATTTGAAACTATGGAGAAGTATGAAGAAGAGGGATCCGAACCTGTGGCCTTGGCATTATTAGCACCACACTCTCCCAAGTGAGCCATGGGCCGGCTCTTCTAATTATTAATATATAATGTTCATTATAAATTATTTGAAACTATGGAGAAGTATGAAGAAGCTTCACCCATAATCCTATTTCCCAAACATCATTACTGTTAACATTTTGGGTATTTTCTACTACAGGTTGAGTAATCCTTATCCAAAATGTTTAGGAACAGGAATGTTTTGGATTTTAGATTTTTTCAAATTTGGGAATATTTGCAGACACTTAAGTTTGGAGCATCCCTAATCCAAAAATCCAAAATCTGAAATGCTCCAATAAGCGTTTCCTTTGAGCATATCTGCACTTAAAAAGTTTCAGATTTTGGAGCATTTTGGATTTCAGATTTTCAAATTAGGGATGCTCAAGCTATAGTACTTAGTTCTGCAGATACTTGAGCTTATTTAGTAAACAGACTTACACATTTAAGATCACACTTATATATAGTTCTATACCCTGCTTTAAAAAATGAACATTAAATTATGAATGTTTCTCCATAAAAATTTTTTCAAAAAAAAATTACTAGCTAAATGTCCTCTATACTGAATGCATACATCATAAACTATAAAACTATTTTCCAGTATTAGACTCATTAGATTCTTTTCACTTGACTATTAAAAAAACCCGGCTGGCCAGTTAGCTCTACTGGTTAGAGTGCAGCCTTGTAAAACCAAGGTCAAGGGTTCAGTTCCCCTATCAGCCAGCTGCCAAAAAAAAAAAAGAAAGAAACCCAAGTGACAAAGTCTTTATATAGAATTTCTTTGTTTGAATCTGTTTCCTTAACACAATTCTCTAAAACTGGAATCCAAATATGAACATTTTTTCAGGCTTTGATAAACTGAATACATACTATAAATGGCTTTCCAGAAAGGCTGTAACAATTTTTACCCCATCAACAGTGCATAAAAGTCCCCATTTTCAGTGGGCTGGCCAGTTAACTCAGTTGGTTAGTGTGTGGTGCTGATAACACCAAAGCTCAGGGTTTTATCCATATACTGGCCAGCTGCCAAAAAAATGTCCCCATCTTCAATGCAGCTTTGGTAGAATTGGAAATTATATATTCAAAATGCAAATGTTATTAGCAATATGTTTTTCTCCTGTGAATTGCCTTTTCCGCATTTAACTTGATTTACAAAACGTCTTGATATGATTAAGAACACTAATGCTTAGTCACTGGTTTCTGGTTAGTCCTGGTTTCCTGTTTTACTCTTGTTTATATTTGGCATATCTGAGCTTCTGGGGTTTTTTGTTTGTGTTTATATAATTAAATCCATTTTTTCTTTTGTAATTCTTTCCAATTCTTTGATTTAGAAAGGCCTTCCCGATCTAAAAGCTTTGAACATATTCACTTATATATTTTAAGTTAATGATTTATTTTTACTTATTTATTTATTTAATTTTGTGGTTGGCTGGTACAGGGATCAAACCCTGGACCTTGGTGTACATTTAATTCTTCACTCCATTTAGAATTTATTTTTGTGTACAAACGCTATATTGCTTTTGTGCATATATGTTCTAATGTTAAAAGTTCTCACTCATACTTGACCTGTACTTTTCATAACATAATATTTATTGATTGGATCAATTAAAAGTAACTTCCTAAAGAAAGAATCCAACTTTTGGTTCTCACGCCATAAGATTTTACTAGTCAAATCCTAATACAGCAAATAACCTAACAACAATCCTGCACAACTCAAGATTTGTAAACTGAAGTTAATAATTAATTTCTTTTAAACAATACTTTATATGATAAAAATGCATTATATCTCATGAATTATATCTTTTTTTTTTTTTTTTTTTGTCTTTTTCCGTGTCTGGCAACGGATCGCAACCCTCAGTGTCGCCCCCGTACCGGACCTGGACTGGCAACGGGATCGCAGCCCGCGGTGTTGCTCCCGCGCCTCGCTCAGCCAGTGAGCGGGAACCGGTCTGTATGTGGGATCCGACCCCTTGGCGGGAGCGCCGCCGTGCTTCCCAAGCGGCGCACTATAGCAGTGCGCCACCCGGCCGGCCCTCATGAATTATATCTTTTTTTTTTTTTTTGTCTTTTTCCATGTCTGGCAACGGATCGCAACCCTCAGTGTCGCCCCCGTACCGGACCTGGACTGGCAACGGGATCGCAGCCCGCGGTGTTGCTCCCGCGCCTCGCTCAGCCAGTGAGCGGGAACCGGTCTGTATGTGGGATCCGACCCCTTGGCGGGAGCGCCGCCGTGCTTCCCAAGCGGCGCACTATAGCAGTGCGCCACCGGGCCGGCCCTCATGAATTATATCTAAATAAAGATGTTATTTTTAAAAATCTATCATACCCAAGGCAATTAAACAGTCCCTTAAAATTCCTTATATTTGAATTTCGTCTAAGAAGCTCTCATAATAAATGATGCTATGATGTGAAGAAAAATTAAGCAGAAGTTTAAAACTATTGTCTTCAATTTATAACTTCAAATCCATTAAGAAGTCAGTAGTCCAAGAAATCAGAAGTCGAGTCCTCTCTTCTGAGAATGCTTTCACCTAGGTAACATAGTTTTGGCAGGAAAAGGAAACTTAACCATCTGATTTCTAGAGCAAAGGCAATTTCATTATTAATTAATCATACTACATTTTTAATTTTTTAAAATTACTTAATGCATCCTCTGAATTTGATCCATTTGCCAATAAACTACCTTATAAATAACCTCAGTGAATAAAATATATTGAGTTCTTAAGTTCTACACACTGTTCCAAACATCAGGGATATCAAGGCAAACTAAAGGTACTCACATTTGAAGAAGAGAGACATACATAAGTAAACAAATACATTTTTAAAAAATTTAAAATCACTTCTCAGCCTTTTTGCTAATATCAAGTATAAAAAAAATTTAAAGAATAAGTGGTATAAAGAGAATAAAGTAGGATAAGTGGGGAGAGAATAGCTGAGACTCCCCTGGGGAAGAGACATGTGAGAACAAACATGTCAAGAAGGTAGCTATGCAAAGATTTGATAAGCTGCTAAGTAATGTAAATTTCCAAGCAGAAAGATCAGCAAATGTAAAAGGCTAAAGGCAGGTGTACAGGCTTGGTGTGCAGAAAGGTCATCACTGTGTCTGGAACACTGTAAATACAGGGAAGGGTAAAGAATGATAAAGCTAGGGCCAGAATTGTGCCAGCAACCCAGAAATACATATTCCTCTGAAATTTAGTGCTTCTGAAATAGATAAAAATAAAAGAACATCTTCTGTTTATTTTGCTTTAATTTTAGCAGCTTCTCAGTATAGGGATCAAACCCTGGACCTTGGTATTATCAGCACCATGCTCTAACCAACTGAGCTAAATAGCCAGCCTAAAAGACGTTTTAAAAAAGTCTTACCATAGGAGTGACAAAGAATAGTTGCTTTAGTTTAAAAGAGCTCTAAACATCTTGGAAATCAAGGAATCTAACTTAAAGGAAGTTACAAGGTTGTATATTTTTGGTCTCCAACCCTCTATCCAACTGTATTTCTGTAATAGGAAGTAGTCTGCATAAAAGAAAATGACGTTTAATTCTTTTTAATTATTCCTGTATATGATAATATACACTGAAACAGCAAATAAATGTAATTGATTTCCCCACATTTTAAAGTAGTAAAGTTTTCTTACCTCCAACATGGCAACTAACTCTGACTTAGAAATGCCAATTCGGTCTCGGTCACAACTGTCTACTACATAAATGACTGCATCTGTGTTCGAATAATAACATCTCCAGTATGGCCTGGAGAAAATTCAAAAGGAGAATATATTATTATTACTTGAAAGATGAAACTGACATGTCAATTTACCTGCTAGGACTCAGGGCAATGATTTGAAGGAGGGGAGAGAGTGATCACATGCCAATCCTGTCCCACCCATGTTAGAATCAATGCCATAATGATTCACTATTTCTGATGAATGTATATATATCATATCCCTCAGATGTGACTGAGTCAAAAGAATAGTGATAAACATTAAATCACAAGAACAAGGAGTTTCAAAATGAGTTCATACTTTAGGCTGAGAGAATATATTTACAATGTATAGAATCACTAAATGTACTGATAGAAAATCTGTACACAGACATGATTATTACATCTCATAAATGTTTAGCAACCTCTTAAGAGAAATGGATTTTTAAAAAGTTTAATGTGATTTTATATAACAATAATTTTTTATTAATCACCAAAGACACCAAATAATAGAAATGGCTAAAATTAGAAATAAACTCAAAAATGATTCAAGACATAAAATGAGTTTTAAAAAAGCAGGATGTTTCGGGAATGCACGTCTAATCTTTTAAAATGGCACCACAGTGAGCAACTACTGACAGTCCCCAAATATTCACAGCTACCATGTCGAGTGCAAAATGCTGGACAAGGAACCTGAATTACAGAAGGCATCTATGTTTACATTAGCCCTACATGGTGGGCCTGCAAGGTATTTTAATGAATTCCAAAACAGCCTGTCACACAGAAGAAAAGGCTGACAAGAACTAAGTTAGGGGTCTTTTTAGTTAAAAACTACAGAAGTAATTAGATCTTGCAATTTTCATGAAAAGATTTTCATTTATGTGATATCTGAAAAACTGGCTTCCTTAGATTTTACTTCAGTGGATGCTCTGAGAAAATAAGCAGGTTCAAATTTTATCTCATTTTAAACTAGGTGGCTCCCATTTAAATTACAATAGGAGATATATTTTGGTTTACTACTGTTAATCCTTAAAAGAACAAATAAATGTTAAATACCACAAAATAACCTGGTCTTTGAACCATACCTGATACTTGTCTGTCCTCCTAAATCCCAGACTTGGAATTTAAGATTTTTGTATGTCACCGTCTCTACATTAAATCCTATGGCTGGAAGAGAAATCAAATCAGTAGTATGTGTGGACTAATGCATTCTACCTTCAAAGTATCCAACCTAATTGAGTTTCAGCAATTAATAGTAATTGTTGAATCACATTATTGGTTGAGATATATTCCGTTTAAAAGAAGACAGTACACAGTGTAACACACACAAAAATCATCAAGTAGCAAGATCAGTAGCACCTTTAAGTTATGAGACTCCCCAGCAGCTCTGCAAATATACAATTCTTAGCTCAACAGAAATCCTATTATATAAACTCCCTTTATAATACAGTACTAGCACACAAAAATGTTTAGAAAGTTATATTTAGAAAGTACAGTTAAAGTCGTATTATAAAAACTGGAATTTTAACAGGAAGCAAACAGATCAAAAACAAGAAAGACTAGATTCTAAACTTCAGTAAGGACAAAGCAATAGCTGTAAATGGCTTTCTATGAAAGCTGAGTTTTCTTTTTTTTTTTTTTTTCCTTTTTGTCTTTTTTCGTGACCGGCAACGGATCGCAACCCCCAGTGTCGCGCC